ACTACAATAATCGTACTCATTATGCGACTCAAAAAGACTAAAACTATTTTAGAAAACCTTCAAAAATGTAATTCTGGTTATGGCACATATACTGGAATGGTCCTTAATTTCCCTCCTGAAGGACACAAATATAACGAGTGTTTTTCCTTTTTCAAGGTCAATGTCGCTAAAATCTTACATTTTTAAGCCAGTTTTGTCACTATTTATAAGCAATATGCATAACATTTGAATCATTCATAGTAAAAGTAAAAGAATTGTTAGCAGAATGACATTACTTAACATGAATTAGTACTGTCCGTATAAACCAAATATGCAAATGAAAAAGTGCATAGATGAGTTATTTACCATTTATTTAATGTGTTTTTACTTCTTATGAGTGTTAGAAGAGGGGCCTGTTACCAATCATTGTAATAAATAAATGTAAATTAAATCGAAAATATTCACAACTGTTTTCATTTTTTTCTCAGACGTCTGTGTTGAGTGTGAGGCAGACTCCTGATTTTGCTGCGACAGGTCGGTGGGAGTTAGAGACGGAGAGGACAGAGGGGCCGAGAGAGACGCATGTTTTTGACGCAGTTATAGTTTGCACTGGACACTTCACCCATCCTCACCTGCCCCTCAGCGACTTCCCAGGTAACAGGAATCATTATTGACTTTAACATTTAACATAGACACAATTCCAACTCCACAGGAGACACACATTCAATGCTCTTCAACAAAGGCTTTCAGGATAACAGACAAGTTTTTATTCCATCTCAGGTATTGAGAGTTTTGAAGGCAGGTATTTCCACAGTTGGGATTATTGCAACGCTGAGGGTCTGCAGGGGAAGAGAGTGGTGGTGATCGGGATTGGGAACTCTGGAGGTGATATAGCTGTAGATATCAGTAGAGTTGCTGAGAAGGTACAATAATAAACCTTATTTCTGTACATTTTTTAATTTTTCTAATTATGCAAATCCATAAATCCTAACACTCTCTGTGCTGACAGGTGTACCTCAGTACCAGGAGCGGAGCGTGGGTTGTGGGCCGTGTGGGGAAGGGGGGGCTTCCAGGTGACATTGTTGGGACTTCACGTCTGGATATGATGATACAGGAGCTCTTCCCCTCGTGGGTCAGCAGGATGGTGGAGAAGAAGCTCGATGAAGCATATGACCACAAACTATATGGTCTGAAACCAAAACATGGGTAACAAGATGCGCTGGTTAAACTTCTTTATTTCTTTGTTGGTTAAATGTTTTAGTGAAGTAATTATTACTCAAAATGTACTTTCCATTCTGCAATGCTTCAGACTTAAATTATTTCACCCCTTTAAGTCTAACCAGTGGGGTTAACATGTAAAGTTGGATTGAGAAGAAAACCTAGAAGTCTTCAAGTAAAGTCTGAACTCAACATTACAAAAATGATGTAAGCAACCGTGCACCACACTTTAAAAAAAATTGTTGGGACAGTTTCTTTGCACAGATCCCCGTTGTGAGTGATGACCTGCCAGCTCGGATCCTCTCAGGTCGGGTTCAAGTGAAACCGAATGTGAAGGAGTTCTGTGGGTCCAGTGTGGTCTTTGTTGATGGGAGCATAGACGAGGTGTGTATTAGTGCAATCTTTTGAGTATGTATCAGATATTTTGTTATATATTGTAGAATTATTGTTGCATTCAGTACTGGGATATGGCAGCATCATGTTTTGAGTTTCTGCCTACTTTACTTGCTTTCCATCATGTTGTTATGGTTTACATTCTGATTAATAAAATGAAATAAAACAGTAACTAATTGCTCAATTAATGTGTGTGTGTGTGTGTGTGTGTGTGTGTGTGTGTGTGTGTGTGTGTGTGTGTGTGTGTGTGTGTGTGTCATACAGGTGGATGTAGTGGTGTTTGCCACAGGGTACAACTACAGCTTTCCCTTCCTGCCCTCAGCTCTGCAGGCTAAATCTGGTCACCGGCTGCGTCTCTACAAACATGTGTTCCCTCCTGCTCTGAGCCAGCCTACTCTGGCAGTCGTGGGATTTATCAACGGCCTTGGATCCATCACCCCACTGTCTGAGATGCAGGCCCGCTGGGCTACAAGAGTGTTCAAAGGTGAATAACAGCACTCAAACTAACCATGACTCTAATACTCACTTGTATACAATCGAGAATCCTGTAAAGAAGGCCAGGATCTTCAGGAAACCTAACACAAAATGTGGGTTAAGACCACAGTTATAATCTTTTGTGTGTGTGTATTTGAACTTAACTGATTTATTTTTGTCCAGGTTTATCGGCCCTCCCCTCAGAAGAGACAATGAATAAGGAAATTGAAAAAGACACAGAAACAATGCATCAGAGGTAGGACATAAGTGAATTCATTATAGATCAATATTTTTTTTAATGTTCCTGATCAAAAATAATCCATTTCACTATTGTAATTTATTTCAATTGTGTAAATGTTACGGCTTTATAATCAAATCACGTCCCCAAATTGTCAAGTTACAGTTTTTTCTATTTTATAGATAATGGCCTAAATGTTGTATTCCGTACAGTAAATGTTTTTTATGATCTCAGTTTATTATATAATTACTTCACCCATGACCAATACATTTCACATCATTCAAGATTGCTTTGAAGCACTTCCCAAGTCCATATTTCTTCTTCCCTCTGTTAGTTTTGCCTGCTCAGAGCGTAACCCCCTCCAGGTCGACTACATCCCTTACCTGGACTCTGTGGCAGAGCAGGTGGGGGTGCGACCCAACATACTGTGGCTCATGCTGAAGGACCCCAGACTGGCGCTGCAGGTTTTGCTGGGTCCCTGCACTCCTTATCAGTACCGTCTGCCCGTGATGCCATCCTCACTCAGTGGGAGCGGGTGCTCCAGCCTTTCAGGACCAGAGTGGTACCAGAACCAGAGACCAGACCCTCGTCTAGACGGAGCGCCATAGTGATACTCTCAGGAGCCGCGCTGCTTTACTGCTTCTTGTACAGGAAACACCTTACCTCCTCTTTCTTTTCTTCTCCGTTATTCTTCAGATCTTTTAAGTAACCTGCATGATCATTGGCACATAATGATAACATGAGGATGCAAGCAGCAGTGAAGCATCACACTACATCACATTCTCTGTCTTACATTTCTTTAGACAGAGCATGTGTTTAGACTGCACCAATTTGACAATGTAAATGAGAAATAAAGTTTTTCTTTTTAAAAATGCTTAGTTTAGTCTGTTTTGCATACATAATGTTTGTTCATCTTGACAGTTTTTCTAACTTTCATAGCAATAACTTGAGAGTGTAATGGAAATAATGATTATCAAAGAATTGAAAGCTATATTGTTGTATAGATAATAATATTCTGTAAGACTTATATGTCAAAAGATAGTAGATCAATGTAGTTGAGATCTCATCACTCAGGTAGATGAGGTGTCATGTGACCACACATTGTGTGACCAGTGATCTGATCATGGGTCTATTTTGTCATGGCATGGGTCGGTTATCTCATGACTAAGCATGTATTCATTGAAACTGTGTGAAAGCAGACTCCTCAGTTTGAGTAGTTGCACTCGGCTGTAGAGAATTAGCTTTCTACAGTATATGCTGCGTTTAAATAAAACTAAATATTGAGTTGAAACCAGCAGATGGAGACACAAGACAAAAGCAGATCTTTACCTGCTGACTACAGTTCAAATATAAACACCTGTAACCGCTGAATTTATACCTGTTGGTAAATGCATTTTTTATCAGGAAAACACTTTTTTATTTGATTATGTTCAGCTCGATCATACCTTTTATTATTTAGTGTTTTATTTATTATGATTATTAGATTGTAGATGGCCCCCTCCTGGCTAACTGGGTGATATACCAATGGTCCTTAGACTGCCTTGGCTTCCCATCAATGTATAACTATTGGAGGTTTAGCCCATAAATTAAGCTAGGTGCACCATCACATTCCTTTATGTAAAGGTCAAGACATTTGCAATGATATGGTTTTACTGTCTGTCTGCCTTTTAACCATGACTGGACTACATAAATACAACAATAATAATTGATATTGTTAAAGTTAGCTAAAATAGCTGCTTTGGGGAAATAGTTTTTTTAAAAAAACAGTGTTCTCGAATTATGTCTTTGAATCACACTTTGTATACCTAATTTACTTTTATACTCTATCCCTAACCAGAGTAGGAACAACCATACATCTTACCATAAAACATTTTTGCTTTTAACATTAACTCTGCCAATGGTCGGTCTAGCCAGTGTGGATATAATCTACTCTGGACTGTGGACTAGGCCTATGTTCTGAGATAAAGATTGATTGACAGGCATTAGCTGGCTGACAGCCGGTTGGTTATGTTCCATTCACTGATTTAAACCTAATGAGTCTCTTCGGGATAGTAATATCTGAGCCCAGGCATTCACTCTTACTCCGCCCACTGTGAGGTTCATGCAGCACAAAAAAGACGTTTCCTTCTCCGAATAGCAAAAGGTAAGAAAATGAATCTGCAGAAACATATATTCAGCTGTAATCTTTGAGTAGGCTTTATTTATGTTTAGAGTTTATTTACGTTTGTAAATGCTATTATGTGACGGTTGTTGTCCCTGCCCATGCAGAGTTTTAGTAAACAACACGTCTTTAGTGAGACTCGAGTTTAGTTGTTAACACGTTTAGTTGGGTAACGCAGTGGTAGCATTTAAACCTTTGTTAAAACAAGTAGCTACGTATTTACCAGTGTTGAACTTTGATAATGGTTAATAATGAAACGTGTGGCACAGATCCACACGTAGAAAAAGACCCCCACGTCTCCAAGTAAACTAAAGGGCGGAAGATCCCAAATATAATTAAAATTACATTTTCAGAAAGAAATAGCCTTCTCTATACCAGTGGTTGAAAGTAAAATTCATTTACCAAAGAACTTTTTGGCACCACATTTTTACTCCACTTTCTTTATTTGAACTCTCAGTTACTTTGTACATAAACACATGATAGGCTGATATTATGTAATGCAGTTCTGTAGAACTAATCTGACAATATTTCAATTATAACATTTACAAACTACAACATTAAACAGCTTTTGTATAAAAACAAGATAATATAAAAACAATAATATAAATCTCAGGAAACTTTTATTTTTGATAATTGAAGAACATAATACAATACTTCTGTACTCTATATTATTCTGAAATGGGTCTTTGTGCAGACTGAGTAGGTATAAGTAGTAGGCCTGCACCTTTTGAAGTCAGGACATCTCGTTGTGTTTAGCTTCATACTTTTTTGTGAACAGATCAAATATTTATCAGACCAATCTGGTTCATCCTTTACAGAGCTGAAGTATGACTCGTCGAGTGGCAGTGATTGGAGGAGGGAGTTCAGGTCTGGCCTGTATCAAGAGCTGTCTGGATGAGGGTCTGGAGCCTGTCTGCTATGAAAGCAGCGATGACATTGGTGGTCTGTGGAGGTTTAAGGTTAGTCACAGTATCATATAAAGCATTTTCCTTTAATTCCCCAGTTTATTAAGTAAAATAGGATGAAAACTACTTGGTGTTTTATATTGCAGGAGAACCCAGAGCCAGACAGGGCCAGCATCTATCACTCTGTCATCATCAACACCTCCAAGGAGATGATGTGTTTCAGTGACTTCCCCATCCCTGCGAACTTCCCCAACTACATGCACAACTCCCTCATTATGGAATACTTTCGGATGTATGCTGACCACTTCCAGCTCACCAAGCACATACGCTTCAATGTGAGGATTACAGCACCTCAATATTAAATCTAAAATGTTGCATAATTAAGGTTGACTGTCAGTAGGTGCATCTCTATCTAATCTGTGTCTGCCTCTCTGTTTTTAGACCAAAGTATTGCAGGTGAGGCAGAGATCTGATTTCTCTCATTCAGGCCAGTGGGATGTTGAGACGGAGAACAAGGATGGCAAAACGGAGAAACACATTTTTGATGCTGTGATGATCTGTATTGGACATCACTGCCACCCAAACTTGCCGCTACATGACTTCCCAGGTATCATTTACAGGCTATAAATATGATTTAGTTTACTCNGGGACAAGTAGTGCTGATAGTGTTCCGGCAGTATAAAAAGGATGTGTGATTTCACAATGAACCTTTGACACAGTCTGAACAAGCCTGTAATGGCATGTTCAACCCTGTGTGGTTATGTAATCACTATATCAACAGAAACCAGCACCACCCAAATAGAATAGGGTTGTCAGTATATTAGTCCCAGCCTTGGCCTAAATTAAATCCCTAGAGAAAAGTTTTAATATATACTTAATAAACAGGTAAAGTCCTCTTGTATCAAAAGTAGAGAGGCACTTTGTCAAGCAGATATATAACCCTTTATTTTTTTCTCTCTTACAGGAATTGACACTTTCGAGGGAACTTATTTCCACAGCAGAGACTACAAGACCCCTGAGGAATGGAGGAATAAAAAGGCTGTAGTTATTGGAATAGGAAACTCTGGAGGAGACATCGCCGTGGAACTGAGCAGAGTCACCAAGCAGGTGTAGATGAGATTGTTACATAGAAACACTTTATTTTAGTATCTTTTATATCAGACGAGATAACATTTTAATCACCAACTTCATTGATAAGATCAAGCATGTTATCATGCAAGGTAATGTGTGTGTGATTTCATGTGGTGAGCTGACTGGGTCATGTGGAGATCAAGTTGACATCACATTGATATCACATTGATTCATTTAAAGTTGACTTGAATTTTCTTACACTTGACATCTCTATAAAGACTTAAAGTTAAGTCACAAGACATGACAGAGATTGTTGCTTTTGTCAGAAACTGTAAGACAAACTTGTTATATTTTGAACATCTTTAATAAAATAACGTTCACAACAATCATTAACAGCAAAGCAGTCCGACGATCAAACAATGTGTATAAAAAAGTCCACAGTTCAACCATAAACCTAACCATTTGGAAGTGAAATTAAAGATTAATGTGAGTTTTTAGTGTTTTTCTTGCGTATACAACTACATTTAATTATGTTGAACCAGGTTGTCGTTCTGCAACATATTTTGGGTTGTGTTAGTGGTAAAATGCACAGAGTTAAGTGAAATAATGTAAAACTAAATGTATTTTAAAAAACCTGCTACATTACTATATTAATAGATTCGGTATTGAAATATTGCGTACTGTAAAGAATTCTAACATGAATCCAAAAATACTGACTGCTATGTTCTCTCTTTCCAGCTTTACCTCAGCACTCGAAGAGGAGCCTGGATTCTGAACCGAGTCGGGGACAATGGGTTTCCCCTTGATTTGCATTTGAACAGAGTGCTAGATTTTCTGCAGCTCATCCTTCCCTTTGGTGTTTTTAGTGGTCTAGGAGAGAGACAGCTCAACCAAAGATTTGATCACGCTCTGTACAATCTTAAGCCAAAGCACAGGTAATGTATTTGCATCTGTTTTTCTACCGTTTTAACATAGCTTGACATACTTACATATCCTAGGTGCACCTTCATACCTTTGGTCTTATTTTAATTAAAAGTGTTTGCTGTATGCATGTTATTGTATAACATAACTCACCAGCGTAAATATTAATCTCAGGTTGTTCAGTCAACATCCCACGGTGAATGATGAGCTTCCCAACCGCATCCTATCTGGAACAGTTCAGGTGAAACCCAACATCCGCAGGCTTCAGGGGTCCAGTGTGGAGTTTGATGACGGAAGTGTTGTGGAAGATGTCGACCTGGTGGTGAGTGTTTCCGGTATACACACACTGACAGACTCACACACATTCACAATCTACAATCACAGTCTATTCTGTCCTTTCTAAGATGAGTACCCATTCTTGCAGGTGTTTGCCACAGGTTACAGGTTTTCCTTTCCATTCCTGGCCATCCCATGTGACCTCAGTTTCTGGGAACAAAGCATCTCTTTACAAGTATGTGTTTCCTCCTGAGTTGGAACGCCCCACTCTGGCTATCATTGGTCTTGTGCAGCCACTGGGAGCCATTATGCCCATATCTGAGATGCAGGCCAGATGGGCCACGCGTGTCTTTAAAGGTATTACAGGTTCTGTAAAAATATTTTCAAGAACTTTCTTGAGAACTCCATCCTGTTACTGAAGTAATTTGTGTCACAATCTGTCCTTTCAAACAGGCTGCACCAAGCGTCCCCCAGTGGCTTCCATGCTGAAAGATGTCCAGTGCAAGCAGGAAACAATGGCTAAAAGGTAGAATAGTCAATGGTTTTACTTGATAATTAAATGTCTTTATTCCTTAAGACACCAAATCTTGTCATACACACTGTGTTTAGCTCAAGTCTGTTTTTCAGGTATGTCTCCAGTCAGAGACACACTATCCAGGTCGATTATCTCCACTACATGGATGAGATCGCAGGACTGTTGGGGGTTCGACCCAACATCCCCAGGCTGCTGCTGACTGATCCCAGGCTGGGATTGAAGGTGATGTTCGGACCCAGTACTCCGTACCAATATCGTCTCAAAGGGCCAGGGAAATGGGCTGGAGCCCGTCAGGCCATCTTCACTCAGTGGGAGAGGGTGGCTCAACCCATGCAAACCAGGCCCTGTGATGATCCCAAATCCAAGAGATCCTTCATGTGGCCTCTGGTTCTGTCTGCTGCTGTGGTGGGCTGGGCTGCCTACGTCAACAGGAACAACCTTCCAACTGCTCTGTTGGACAAGATGAAAGTGTACCTGCCTGCACAGTGATGAGGAAATATTTGATCAATCTCAGCCTTTTTACAAACATTTAAGATGTTCATGATTGTCGTCATCAATTGTACAGTTCTCTGGGCAAAGTGTAT